GCGCCCACAGATTTTGCGTTTTCGCGGCCGGGGTGGGCCCCCGCCCTTCCCGGTGCCCTCCCCCCCGGTCAAGATCGACCTGCGTGCTGCACGAGAGGCGCTGCATCGAGGGCAGCGCCTTCGGCGCGTCTCGCCCTCGGCGGAGGCCGGCGGAAGTAGAACGGCGGCGTTCCCTCCGTTGCGAGCTCGGAGGAAGGCGGCGGCACTACACCTGAGGCGTCAGGGTGCGTGGGGTCGGGACTCACTGGAGTCGGCCACGCAGTCTCAGAGACCACCGTCCGCGTCGGCACGGCGCGAGCCGGCGGTGCGCCTAGAATCCAAGTGAAGCAGTCTGTCTGTCCCAGCCAGTTTTCGGGTGACCTACCCGCGCGTGGGCCACCCGTGCGGTGCGCGCGCCATGCGGGACACGTGCTGAGCAGAAATGCAGCACCTCGCGCTGAGGCCCAAAATCCAACGGAAACAATTGTTTTTGTTCAAAACATTCTCGGCTGACCCGCCCGCGCGTGGGTCACCCGTGCGGTGCGCGCGCCATTCAGGAGACGTAGTGGGGGGGAGTCTATCACTTCATGTTGAGGCCCAGAATCCAAGTGACACGCTTGGTTTCTCTGAACCAGTTTTCGGGTGAGCCGCCCGCGCGTGGGTCATTCGTGTGGTGCGCGCGCCATGCGGGATACGTGCTGAGTGGGATTTGCACCACCTCGTGCTGGGGCGCATGATCCAAGTGGACATAACTTTTCTCAAACCGCTCTCGGGCGACCCACCCGCGCGTGGGGCACCCGTGCGGTGAGCCCGCCCGACTTGGGGCCCTCTTGGGTGCTCCAGGGCCGTCTTGGAGGCGGTCTTGGGCGTTTGGGAGGCCTGTTGGGCCCTCTTGGGGCCCTCTTGGGGCTGTCTTGGGGCGATCTTTGGGGTCTCTTGGGCCGTCTGGGGCCGTCGGAAGGTCGAAAAGAAGCGAATGCCCAACTCCTTCAAACACTCTGGGCAAATTTCTGATTTTGGCCTCTTCGGGCCTTCCTGAAGGACCTCTTGGAGGCCTCTTGGGCCGTCTTGGAGGTCTCTTGGGGGCCTCTTTGGCCGTTTGCGGGCCATCTTGAGGCTATCTTGGGCCGTCCTGTGGGCTCCTTGGGCGGACTTGGAGCATCGTGGACCCTCTTGGGCCGTCTTGGAGGCATCTTGGAGGCGTCTTTGGCCATCTCGGAGGCCATCTTTTGCCAGCGTGGCCATACTGGAGGCCATCGTGAACCGTCTGGGACGACTTTTGCGGACGTTGTGCTGGCGTTCTCCTAGTGGTCTTCATCCCGCCACCGTGCCTGAGTTGTGGTTCTGAGGCCTCTTGTATATGTATTGCGGTGTCGTGGGGTGCCCTAGAGGGAGCCTTTTGGAAGCGGTTTGGGTGCCTCTTGGGCGCCTCTTGGGGCCTGGTTGCTTATCTTTTGTGCCTCTTGGAGGCCTCTTGGGCGCGTTTTTGGTGCCCCTTGGGGCCTCTTGGGGCCTCTCGGCGCCCTCTTGGAGCCTCCTGGGGGCTTCCGGGAGCACGAATATCGAACGTTCGGTTTGTGGTCTTCTGCTTGGGCTCCTCTTGGGGCCGTCTTTGGGCCCTTTTGGGCCGTCTTGAAAGCTTCATGGGCCATCTTGGAGCCCTGTTGGGCCGTGTAGGGGCCCTCTTGGAGGCGTCTTGGGCTGTCTTGGGGCGGTCTTGGGAGCTTCTTACGCAGTCTTGAAGCGTCGGGAAACCGAACATGCGAGAATGCCAAAATCCTTCGAGCACCGTGGTAACATCTGCGATTTTGGGCCTCTTGGGGCTCTCTCGGGAGGCCTCTTGGAGCGCTCTTGGGGCATTCTTGGGCCGTCTTGGAACCATCTTCGGGCGCCTTGGAACAGTCTTGGCCTCGGTAATGCTAATCTGGCGTAATTTGCAAAGGTCTATGGCTTCGGGGACGCTAATCTTGCGTAGTTTACGAGGGTGTGTTTGTGCGTTGCCTCGGGGACGCAACACATGCATAATTTACCAGGGCTTGTGGCCTCGGGGACGCGAACATTGCGTACTTTACAAGAGAATATTGCTTCGGGGGCGCGAATCTCATGTATTTTGTAAGTGTCCCGCGCCCCCCCCGGAATTCAGGCAACGCGATCCTGGCGTAGTAACTTGTATTCTTTCGGGCTCCCCCCCTCACGCGGACTTCAACAGTCTACAGGAGAAAGCAGAAAGCAGGATTGCAACATCGGAGACTTGAAACTGCAACTGGTGCAGGGAGCACCAACTTCGTCCTACAGCCTGGTGGCCCTACGAGGGGATCGGTCGGCGGATGAATCTGCGGCACGGCAAAAGCGGCCGCGTCAGCGACTTCAACAAAAAGAAGAAGAATTTCCGCATGGGGCCGATCGTCTCTGGGCGCGAGTTCACAGAGAACGCTACCGGGCAGGCGTTCCGTACGTTCCTTTTTCTTCTCCTCCCCTCGCATTCCTCCCTGCTTCTCTCCTTCTATCTTCCCCCCTCCTCCACTCCCTCGTTTCCCGTAGCTATTTTGGTTCGGTGTGTAGTTCCACAGCGGAGCAAGTGGAGACCCTCTGATCCGAGGTAAGACAACGATATACCTCTGTATCCCCAGTCGAACTGCGCGCTGCTGGGACCACCGGTCCAACAGGGGCAACAGAAAGGTGGGGGTGTGACCACCTCAGGGAAGGGCGCATCGCCCAAAATCGCCCATTCACCGCCGATAGGGGCCCACTAGCCCACCCTTCCAAGGAACGTGCATAGTCGCTATGGGGGTCTCGTCGCCATTTATCTGCGATGTAGTATCGCCGATTCTAGCTCTAATTATGTTTCCCTCCCTGAGGCGCCCCCCCCTCGTCCTAACGTTCCCCCCATCAGTCCATATCACGAGCTGCGCAGTGATAGCATGGCCTCTCGTCGCCTCACGCGGCAGGCGCGCAATCCCAACTGGGCTGTTGCGGGCGGTGCGCGAGGTCGGCCAGCTGGGCCTGCCGATTGGTCTGCGCCTGTGGCAACCCAGCCCCGCATCGGATTGCCAAGGCTGCTCGGGCAGTCTGCAGTAGGCTCGTGTCGTGTCGACGCGGCGGCGACCCCGGCGCGGGCGTTCAAGTCTGTACGCCGCCCGGCGACGCCTCCGAGTGCTTCTAACCGGCGACGATGCCGACAGTCCAAGAGGCAGTTGCGCAAACAGAGGCTCGTGTTGCGAATCAGGAAACTGCGCAGCTTCGGGAAGGCCATGATCGGAGTCGACAAAGCTCAGGCGAAGCGAAATATGATTCGCATGGTGAGAGTGTCGCCTGAGGCCTGCCATGGAAGCGCGGCGGTTGGTTTAGATGATTCCGAGCGGGCACAGCTGCGAGCGGTTCATGCGCGAGGGCAGCTGCTGCTCCGGGCGGAACAAGCATATTGGCGAAGCTGATGCTCGAAGGCAACGGCGCGGGCACGCTTGCAGTTGCTCCTGCAGTGGAGTGGGTCCACGTGCTGTGGGTCGTGGTGAGCAGCTCCCGCGCGATGGTCGGTTCCGGCTACCCACTCAGGCTGTGGCGTGATGTGAAGCCCTGGGCAGGTATCGAATTCGGCGACGAGCTGAGGGCCCAGAGGACGAGCTGTATTGGCAGTGCAGCGCGCGGGGTGGACGGTGCAGTCGCCTACTTACTTCAAGGACTAAAAGCCGAGGTTGCACGGTGCGCGCGCGGACGAGACGCCGCCGAGTGATGACCCAGATTTTGCTGCGTGCTGGCTTGCTTCGACGGCGTGAGCTGTCACTAGCAGCAAAGTTATCAGGGCTCCGCTGTCATGCGAGCGCCCTGTGGTATGATACAGCGCGTGACCTGTCAAGCGGGCAATATGTTCCCAATCATCGGCGGTTCTGATTTGCAGCGGTGCTTGCCAAGAGAAGCGGGCGATCAGCTGCGCGAGCACGGCAGGCCACCTGGCAAGCGGCCTGTGCGATTTCGGAGTTGTGTACACGGTCCGACATGCGTTGTACGAATGCAACTGGCAGCGCTTTGCTGAACTCAGGGAAGAGTCAGGCGTGCCCGCCAGCTTCCTCCTAGCAGCCACGGAGTCGGGGTGTGCCCCATTTTTGCCCAGGGCATCTTCCTCGACGATGAGACTCGGATGCCGACGATGAGACTAAGATGCCTCCCCCGTCGTGCTCAGCTGAGCACTGATTGTAAGGACACTTGCGGGAATCCTCTCGGCATTGATATTGACCTGGTGGAATTGGTCCGGATAAGGAAAGCATGGTCGGCATCGGAGCCGAAATTTCTGGCATGTGTCAATGTTGAGGATTATGCGCGACACTCCCACACGACGGCCTGAGCCCCTCCCTCCCTCCCCTCCCTCCTTCCCCTCGCTTCGGCGCCACTGCGGGGCTCTCGCGGGGCCGTCCCCCGAGACGACTGACTGGCGCCTCGTCTCGCCTCGCCCTCCCCCCTCTCCAGGGGAGGGGGGTTCGATCGAGGGGGGGAGCCCCCCCCTCTCTCAAGGAGGGGGGGCTCGAACGGGCCCTTCCCCTCTCCGCTTGAGAACTGCAATGGGAGGGGTCGAACTGGCTCCCCCCACCCTTCGCCAATGGCTGACGACGACGACGACGACGACGACGACGACGACGACGACGGTGACGGTGACGGTGACGGTGACGGTGACGACGCCGACGACGGCGACGCCGACGACGGCGACGCCGACGACGGCGACAACAACGACGACGACGACCACGACTGCGACGGCGACGGCGACGGCGACGGCGACGGCGACGACGGCGAGTTCGACGCCGACGGCGACGACGAAGCCGCCGACGACGACGACCGATCCTTTCCCTCCCTCGCTCGCTTGCTCGAGCGAGCGAGCGAGCGTGCAAGCGAGCACCATGCATTCGATGTCCCGCCCGCGCGAAACGACCCTCACTTGCTTTGGCGAGCGACCGAACGAGCGAGCAAGCGAGCGAGCGAGCAAGCGAGCACCATGCACTTCATGTTCCACCCTACCCGTCCCGCCCCGCCTGGCTCGCTCGCTCGCTTGCTCGAGCGAGCGAGCGAGAGGATCGACTCCTTCCTTCCCTCGCTCGCTGGCTCGCATGATTGCTCCAGCGAGGGAGCGAGCGAGCCAGCGAGCACCATGCATTCAATCAACCGCCCACCCGACCCGAACGGCCCGATTCGCCCGCTCTCTCGCGCGCTTGCTCGAGCGAGCGAGCGAGCGAGCAAGCGAACACCATGCACTTAATGACCCGCCCGACCCGTCCCGCCTCGCCGGGCTCGCTCGTTCGCACGTTCCAGCTAGCGAGCGAGTCCCCTTGGGTCGTCTCGGAAGCCAGGGAGGGCCAGCATGTTAAAACTTGCCAGAGTCCTATGACGGGTGTTTTTGCTCTTGAGGGCCTCTTGGGCGCCCCCCTGTGGCCCTGTTGGGCCGTCTTGGAGGCCTCCTGGGCCGTCATGCGACCATCTCGGGACACGTTCTCTTTCAGAGTGGAGGCCTTCTCGGGCAGTCTCAGGACCGCCTTGGAGGTCTTTTTGGCCGTGTTTGGGCGGTCTTGGCCGCCTTGGGGTGTTTTCTAGATCGCTGTTTGGGTTGTTCTTAGCAGTTGTTGCTGTGCTTGGGTGGGTGTTTTGCCACCACCCTCGGAAACCAGCAACTTGTTCAGTGAAACTGCCCAACATCGGCTCTGGAGAGGGACGGTTTTTCAGGAGCGCGCGCGATGAGGGGATTGGGTCGAAAGAGCGTTCTGACACGCTCCGGCGTGCACAAGGCACAGTGGCGGATATGCGCTCATTGCTGGGGTTCCGCTCCCAGAGAATTTCCGCATCCTGCCGGACACCATCGCTGCGTCCAGGCCACGGTAGCGGATGAATACGGCTTGGCCTTGGGCTGGCTTCTTGGTTTGGTCTGGTTTGGGCCCATGTGCTAGTTCAGGGCTCATCAGGGGCCCAGCCTCATCTTGTGATGGTGTGAAGCTGTCGGTTCTCGATATGGGTTCACGTGATGCGTTCGTCATCGTGCGTGAGGAGCCCGAGGTACAGGAGGGAGGAGGACGGAAGAGGAGGAGGAGGAGGAGCAGGAGGAGGAGGAGCAGGAGGAGGAGGAGGAGGAGGAGGAAGAGGAGAAGGAAGAGGAGGAGGAGGAGCAGGAGGAGCAGGAGAAGCAGGAGGAGGAGGAGGAGGATGAGGATGAGCAGGAGGAGCAGGAGCAGAAGGTGGAGCATGAGGAGCAGGAGGAGGAGGAGGTGGAGGAGGAGCAGGGCGCCCTCGCGATCGGGGTGCGGCGCCCGTCTTGCGCTCCTCGTTCTTGCAAGCGCCAGGCTGCAAGCAGCCCTCGTCATCACTCGAGGCCAGTTTCGTTTACACCTCGCATGCACTTCTATCCTTAGCAGCAGGAGCAGCGTAAACATACCTTTCAGTGGTTTGCGTGGATTTCTTGGATCGGCGGTGGCCCTTTTGGATCTTGTCTCCGGCGCCGCACTTGCTGCACCCCGCGAGCCAGCGCCGGTCTAAGACATCCACGCGGATCTTCGACATTTTCTTCTATACATCCCCTCCCCTATTCACCGGTACTTGCTCCCACTCTGCTACCTAGCGGACCGATGGTCGGTCAAAGCGGGGGTCCATCCAACCCCTCTAGAAACGACAGAGCCGACGTTCTCTTCCAGCATGGACTTCGTGGTCGATGGGGCGCGGCGAACACGGTGCCCGAAAAGGAACTGGTGCCAGCGCATTGGCGTCGCGCATATTTATTTTGGAAGATGCGCTCCCGCTTTGGCGCGGCGCGCATTTTTGGCTCGCCAATTCGTCGGCAGCGGGGTCTCGCGCGAGCGGTTGAATTGACGCTCCCGCCCACAAGCCGGTCAGATCTCGATTGGGTTCGCATGCGCGCGCGCGGACGAAATGTAGCTCTTGCCTGAGGGCCGCGCATATTTCCAATCTCGCTACGGCACGGCGCATGTCTTACCTCCGCCAGCACTGTCGGGAGTTTGGCCGTCGCGCGAGAGGGCTGGAAGGTGCTCTCGCCGAAGCGCCGCGCGGGGATTCCTGGACGGTTCCGCTCCGCAGCCTATGCTTTCCTTTCGCCAGGTCGTCGGGAGCGCGGCAGCCCGCGCGCGCGAGCTCCTTCCGTTCGCCAGGTCGGCGCGCGCGCGAGTCCCAACTGTCCAGTTGCGCCCGCATTGATACATCTATACGTGTGTATGTGTGTGTATGTGTATGCACACGTGTATATGTATATGTGTATGTATGTTGTGGGAAAGAGGGCTGGAACGAGCGAGGCCCCTTGACTTGTTCGAGCTGGCGAGCTTGTCTCGTGCTCTCAGTCCTGCTCTCCCTGCGTGCTCCTACTCCTGCGTCAGAAGCTATGGCTGTCCCGCGTGCTCGTTTTCCTCCTGCTTGCTCTCGGAGGCGAAGAACAGCGTGAACTTGCAATTCCGTGCGGACCCGAAGTTGCAGGCTACTCCTGAGGTGAAGGAAGAAGACGCTATGACCTACCGCACGGAGGACGTATTGTCGAATGCCGAGGCCCGGCAATCTACGATCCAGGATGTGGGGATGCGGGTGCAGGCCACAACGGGAGGCTAGAATAATGATTGGGACCAGCCCTTACACCTTTTCCAGCCCTGGCCAATTTCCTTTAAGCTTTTCCAGCTCTGGCGACTGGATCTCGAGTGTTTCGGGATCGTTTCAGCCTCTACTGTTTTTCCCAGCCCTGGAAATTTCCACTTTCACGGAGTTTGCAACTCGATTATTCCCATCTTAGCTGCACGATTTAGTGGTTTAGGGATTCAGGTGTAAGTCGGCACGTGTTTCCAGCAATCACAGACTGCGGGCACGCAAATGTACGAATCCCGCAGCCATGGCAGTCATGCCACGTTGAATCTGAAACCGTATTCAGTATCTTTCATGATAGTTTTGATATTGGAGGTATGCATCGGCGTAGAGTGGGATTCTGGGTTGGGGTAGGCAGTAGCAGAAGTGAGCTTCTACGGGGAAACTCCCCAGGATAAGCTCCCCTGGGTAAATTTTCCCTGGGAAAGTTGCCCGAGTGAACTTCCTTGGGTGAACTTCTCCGGATGGACTTCCCTGGTCGATCTTACCCAGCGTGTTTTTCTCGGATGAACAACCAGGTGTGAAATCGGGTAGGCAAGGATTTGAGATTTAGGGTGATAATGACAATTATCTATCTCTCTCGCCCGTGGCTGTTGTGGCTCACAAGCTGGGCGGGAGGGTGGACGCACCTACTCACGTTAGCTTTAAGTACGGAGATAACTTGATCTTATTTCTCTTATTTTGTGCTTGCATCATTTGCTTGGTGGGAAGGATATTATGATCAGTATTGACAATGGTAGCCTGGAGCCGTATCAGTTCTATGGCTGCGAGATTCATATTGTGAGTGGCCGTGCAGACATATATGCTGGCGTTCAAGACTCTCGTAGTGCTTTACCACTGCCCTCTTCTTTCAGCGACCAACGCGCTGAACATCATCACTTGCAACCTGGCCGAGAATCGTTGCCGCGACCCAAACAGCAGCAGTGACAGCGACATCTACTACGAGCTGGACGGCAACGAGCAGGACGGCAACACCATCATCATAGACGGCATCACCATCACCACAGACAAAATGGCGACCAGGCAACAGCATCCCAACGAAGGACCCCTCGTCGTGGACAAGGAGGGCGTCGTGCACTACAGCGGCGACCCGGCCTACTGCGAGGAGTTCGAGGAGCGCGCAATACTCGGGTACTATGCGAGCGAGGAGAAGCTGCAAAAGCTCTACGCGATCAGGCTCAAGAGCTCTCTGAATGGGCGAGCGTGGAACCTCACAAGGAAGAGGCCCGAGTTTCCGACGCAAGCAGTGTTGGACAAAGCAAGTGAGGACCCACTTGCTGCAATAAAGTTGGTAGTGGCCACGGTCCGACAAGCCTTCGAACGGATCGCACCACCACAAAAGCAGCAAGCTTTCGAGGAGTATTTCTTCAATGTTTCCGCAGCAGGTCGGAGTCAGTGCGGGGCTGCGTATCGAGGCGGGGGGCGGAGTGCGAGCGGCTCAAGTCTCTCTCAGCAAACACGACTGTGACGAAGACCTGCGGACTTATTTCCTATCAAAATTGGCCGCTATCAGCATGACCGAGCATGGGGTTATTATCGGGCAGTGCAAAAACGAGTACATCTGGGACGACGTGGTGGCGGCGATGCTCATCCAGCTGGACGCGACGTGTAGAAACGAACGTGGTCACGGACGTCATGGGGCATGCCCGGTGGATCACGACGATGACGAGGAGGAAGCCCTACTCGGATACGAGCGTGGCGTGTGCGACGAGGGCGGGCTTCTGAGCGATGGAGATTACGATGCGCTGGCAGCCGACGTCGACGAGTTCGAAGGGGTGATTGACGACGTCGACCCCGAGAAGGTCAGCCAGTGGGGAGTGCGACGCTCTCGCGGCTGAGGCGCAGCGACTCGGGCGGAAGGTTCGGCGAAAGGGTCGCAGGCCTAACTGCGAGCAAGCTTGGGGGAGGCTTGCGCAGAGCAAGTCCCATCGAGGCTGGAAGGCCAACGTCAACGCGCAGGGATCCATCAATATGGGCGGCGAGGAAGCAGAATAACATGTCAAGAAGAGAATGGCTCGCGCGAAGTGCAGCGCATGCCGCAGGAAGGGCCGCTGGAAAGGCGACCTGGAGTGCGAGGAGACAAGGCCATCAGGTGGCGGGTCATCGAGCGGAGTGCTGCGTGGGTGACGAGGTGGCGGCCGAGGCTTTCACGGGCGACCTTGGGGTTTTCTACGACGGGCAGGGTGTGCCATGGCAACAGCGGTGAAGCTACTGATGGCGGACAGATCATTGGGCGTGGCTGCCGCCCAGATCGCGAGCGACCAGCTGGCGGAAGTGGAGACCGCGATGGAGGAGATCACGAGTCTGGCGAAGGTGAGGATCGACACCGACGAGCAGATCGTGAACGCCTGGATGGTATCAGCACTTGTTGACGATCAAGGTACACCAGAGTGGCCTGGAGCAGCGAATCGGATCAGTAACGGGAGCCTGAAGGTAGTGACGACCAAACGCCAGGATCTGGATCAGGACAGACATGGCCCATCATATCGAGCACCGAATACCATGGAGAAGATAGCGCAGCGGCAGACCTACATAATGCCAAAGACCGAGCAGCACAGGTCGCAGCGTTATGGGTCAGCTGTGAGAACGTGGAAGCAGCGTGCAGGGATTGCGTGGATTGGTGTGCGGACTGGGCGCTGCGCCAGATCCGCCACCTCATGCGCATCGCGATGAAGATGGCGCCGCAGCGGCTCAGGAACTTGGCGTGCGACCTGTGTCAAGCATCCAGGGGCAGTACCTCGGAACTGCGAGACATCGCATGGGGCGCCTGCGAGCGCCTACCTCGTGGAGCGCGACCGATGTGTCTGCGGGCGGAGCGCAGGACGGGCGCGGGCTACAGGCCTACAGAGGATCGTGCACCATCATCTGGCCTGCAGGTGAATTGCGAGGAGCTGGGGGAGACCGAGGCCTACGCGATAAGGAAAGGACATATTCCACATGGGCATGCCGTACTGGATGCAGCGTGCCTACGAGGATGAGGGTTCACTGGCATTGGGCGGCTGCGCGGAGGACAGCAGGGTCACTGCGAGGGCGAGGGGGCTCGTCCACGCGCTTCCGAGGCGTGAATGATAGCGCCCAGGTCACGGCAGAAGGCGAGCGGGAGGTGGCAGCTGGATTTGCAGGAGCCGACGCGAATCTACGATTCCAGAGGCTGCCGAAATCGAAGACGCCGATGTTGCTGAGCATCCACCAGCGGGAAGAGCTAGACGCAGTGCTGTGCGTGAAGGAGCGGAAAGCGGACTTCATGTGGCAATCAACAAGTACGGGTTGCCGCTCAACAAGACCGAGAAGGGGCGCCCAACGATCTCACTCAAGGATAGGCCAAAAACAGCCAAAACAGCACCATCAGTTACGACGGATGAGATCGACATCTGGACCGCGGAGGTGCAGGAGATAGATAGGGGCATCCTACGACGAAAGCAGAGGAAGCATATCGAGACGTGGGAGAAGGAGTTGCAGGACAAGCTGGACCAGTGCCAGCAGGTCACGGAGACGCTAAAGGTGGACCCAGAGGAGAAGCGGCCTATCATGTGCGAGCTCTACGCTGGTGGCAGGGCGGCCGCATCGGAAGCTCAGCAGCGGCGGCGCCCTACTACGAGACCAAGGGGCATCCTGATCAAGTCGCAGCGGAGAGTGCTGAAGCAGCTCGGCAACGACGACCCCTACATGACTATCGTGGGTTTTCCATGCGACCCGTTCACGAACATATCGCGCATGTTTCCGCAGAAGACGAGGATGGTGAAGCTGGCAACTGGCATGAAGCACCTGCGCTTCGTCGAGCCGATCTGGCTCGACTGCAAGCGTCGAGGAACGCGCGCTACTGGAGAACCGGCTGACGTCCAAGGCCTGGAAGCTCACGCCGCGGCTAGGCTCAGAGTTTGTGGCAGCGATAACGCATCAGTGCGCCGAGGTCTGCAACCTGGTGGACATCGTGGGCGATCCCGTCAAGGAGCCGACGCGTTCCTTGTCTGCGGCCATCGTGCTAGGCGCCAGGTTCAACAGCGTCAGGTGTGACAGCGCGCACGAGCACGCGAGCGTGATCAACAGGCCGAAGGGAACAGCATCAAGTCTTGGCACCTGGACGGCTAACCTGGCTAAGACGACTACGGGCGGCATCGAGAATCAGCGGGGCCTCGAGAAGCATCGTGGTGGGTGCGCCAGGTACGCCAACAACTTCGAGGACATCGGGCTTGACGAGATCGAGGCCAACCCTGCAGAGGCGGAGGCCCCCATGCACGCGAGTGTAGCGACGATCTTCGGCGTGCACATCGAGAACATCGAGATGGCGGAATAGACGGTGGTGCCACCACTTATGCGAGCAGCGATCAATAATATACACGGGGGCCATTCACATGGACCCTACAAGGAGTCATTGGTACGATACTGACGGCGCGGTGAAGCTAGTCGACGAGCGGCGCATGCAGCGCGACTCTTCAGATGCACAACGTGTGGGGCGCAGGCTCGGACGGCAGCGAGACATGCAGCATCTGAGCCCAAGGTTAGAGACTTCAACGAGGCCTTTGGCATGGATTTCGTGATCGCACCCGACATGGGCAATAATTTGCACGTGGTGCTGGCGATCGTGGATGTTGCATCGGGTTTCACAGTGGCCATCTACACGTGTCCTGGATCAAGACCGACGGCAGAGTTGGCTAGGAAGACTCTCGAGCTTGGATGGCTGACCTGGGCTGGACCACCTACTGTGGTTGAGCAGGACCAGGACTCTACCTTCATGGGCGAGTTCGAGACACTGTGCAACGACCTAGGCCTGGTGATCAACGACGCTGCGCCAGAAGCTCACTGGGAAATGGGCATGGTCGAGAAGAATGCGCGGTACCTGAAGGAGATGGCGACGTGTGTCTTCAATGCCGGAGGACCTCGTGGTCAGGATTCAGTTGCAGCTGCAGTGAGAG